GGAAGCAAGACCAAGGTGGAGTACAGCTTCGGTTATAAGAAGAATGCCGACGGCCAAGTGCGTATTTTCCTGCACCATTCCTCAGTGCCTGGGTTGTGGTTGAGGGTCTTATCCTAAAAGTTCTGAGTATATCGGACCCTGAATAAATATCAAGGCTTTCTGGGGCTTGTACTTTGCAGATGTACTGCGAGCAAGCAAAGTACGAAGCCCCATAGATATGATGCAGGGCCATCCATAAGTCCCATGACAGTTGTGAGGCTCTTGAAGGCTCCTGAGGAACTGTAACTGAAGTTGTAGGAGACATCTACGAACCATGAGCCTCCTTTGACCCTAATCCTTAAACCGCGTGGAACCAGGGCTCAGTACTGCTTTAAACCTCCAACCCTAAACACCAAGCCCTAAACCCTAAATCCTAAACCCTAAACTCTAAACCCCAAAGCCTAAAACCTAAATCCTAACCCTCAAACCCTAAATCCTAAACCCTAACTAGAGCTTAGGGCTTGACCAAGGTGCCCTTCGTGCCCTCCATTTCTGAGGAGGAAGTGCAAGCCGCGCAGGCGGCCATCCTAAATTCCCAAAACAAGGTTGAGTGTGTAGGATTTAGTAGGGTTGAGGGGGTTTAAGGTGTTAAATTCCCAAGACGATCGAGGTTCAGGGTATAAATTTAGCAGGGTTGAGGGGGTTTAGGGGTTTAGATTCCCATAACAAGGTTGAGGGTGTAGGGTTTAGTAGGGTTGACGGGGTTTAGGGCTTTAGATTCCCAAGACGAGGTTCGGGGTATAGGGTTTAGTAGGGTTGAGGGGGTTTAGGGGCTTTAGATTCCCAAAACAAGGGTGAGGGTGTAGGGTATAGTAGGGTTGAGGGGACTTAGGGCTTTAAATTCCCAAAACAAGGTTGAGGGCGTAGGATTTTGTAGGGTTGAGGGGGTTTAGGGCTTCAGATTCCCAAAACAAGGTTGAGGGTGGAGGGCTTAGTAGGCTTGATGGGGTTTAGGGCTTTAGATTCCCAAAACAAGGTTGAGGGTGTAGGGTTTCTTAGGGTTGAGGAGGTTTAGGGCTTTAGATTCCCAAAGCAAGGTTGAGGGTGTAGGGTCAAGTAGGGTTGAGGGGGTTTAGGGCTTCAGATTCCCAAAACAAGGTTGAGGGTGTAGGGTTTCTTAGGGTTGAGGGGGTTTAGGGCTTTAGATTCTGAAAACAAGGTTGAGGGTGTAGGGTCAAGTAGGGTTGAGGAGGTCTAGGGCTTTAAATTCCCAAAACAAGGTTGAGGGTGTAGGGTCAAGTAGGGTTGAGGAGGTCTAGGGCTTTAAATTCCCAAGCAAGGTTGAGGGTGGAGGGCTTAGTAGGCTTGATGGGGTTTAGGGCTTTAAATTCCCAAAACAAGGTTGAGGGTGTAGTAGGGATGAGGCTTTAGATTCCCAAAACAAGGTGGAGGGTGTACGTCTTAGGTTTAGGGCGTTTTTTCAAGGTCCTAAACCCTAAACCCTAAACCCTGTTTAGGCTTAGGGGGTTTAGGGTTTCATGAGGGTTCAAGGTTTAGGATGTAGGGCCTGAACCCGTGAAGCCCGGAGCCCAACAGCCTCGAACCCTTTCAATGCTAAGCCTTACAACGAACACTCCTCAAACACTTTTACCCCCCCTAAACCCTAAACCCTAAAACTTAAACCCCAAACCATATGTATATATATATATGTATATAAGTTTGGTGCCGAAATACCTGAAGGCGTCTGAAAAAACCTGTGCAAAGGCGGCCTGGGCCAATGCCATCAAAGGCATCTCCAAGACTTACCTTGCTGGAGGTTGGGATTTCGTGGGGGGCTTTAGGGGATCTTTTTAGGGGGTTTAGGGTCTAGGTTTTTAGGGTCTAGGTGTTTTTTTTTGGGGGGTTCAGGATTTTAGGTTGAGGATTTAGGGTTTAGGATGCAGGGTTTAGGGTTTAGGATTTAGGGATCCCGTTTCCAGGGGAGAGAGGTGGTTACATAGCGGGGTTGTGAAGGGGTGTTTGAGGGTCCATAGGGGCATTTGAGATTTTAGGGCTTTTCAGATTTCGCGCTTTGGGGTTGTGAGGCTTCTGGGTTGGGTTCGGTGTTCTAGGGAGGCTTGGGTTTCGCTACAAGTTAGGTCAATCCCTCCTACAGTACTGGCCCCTAAATATTGAGTTTACAGGGCCTGAATATACCTACAGTAGTCCTTTGTGGTACCCATTACTGGGTAGGGGATTGACCCACGTTACTGGTTGTGCGAAAGTAAGATGGAATAGATAGGTCCTATTCCGCACTTAGGACCTTAAAGTTCAGAGTTTGAGGACAACCCCAAATCTTAAACCTTAAACCCTAACCCTATACCGTAAACCCTAACCCTAAACCCTAAAACCTAACCCTAAAACCTAACCCTAAACCCTAACCCCTAAACCCTAAGCCCAAACCCTAAACCCCACACCCTAAGCCCTTTGAGGTCTGTGTAGGGCTCAGGGTGGTTCAGGGTTGAGATTCGCAGAGCTGGGGCGGGGATGTTGCTTTATTTAGGGTTTAGGGTTTAGGGTTCAGGGTTTTAGGGTTTAGGGTTTTAGGGTTTTAGGGTTTTAGGGTTTAGGTTTTGGGGTTTAGGGTTTTAGGGTTTAAACTTTAGGGTTTTAGGGTGGTTTGGTTTAGGGTTTAGGGGTGTGTTTGGCCGTTTCGGGGGCTGAGGGCTAGGTTCCAGGGTCTTACGGTGTTGCCTTTGCAGTGGGTGTTGCAGGTCTAGGAATCCGCAAAAAACTAAGCTGTGCAAGCATTAGCCCCTGAATCTAAGCTTAAATACATCTCGTAGATGGGACCCTAAGTCTCCGGGAGATACCCCCAAATAGGAGCAAATCCTAAATCCTAAACTTAACGCGTATTTACGCCCTAAACCCAAACATTAGTGGGTATGTCTCAAGACAGTCCCTAGAGAATCCCCAACAAGGATCCCCAATACTCCTCCTATAACCCTTATTTTGCACTATGTATCCCTTGGGACCCCTGACGCCCTCCTACTTCTAGAAATTCTCAAATCACCAGGTGACCTCAAAGCCCAAACCGTGAGCCGTAAACCCTAAACGCCAAATATCCCAAATCCTCAAACTCGCCCTAAAGCCCTAAGTAAGCCCCGAACCCCCCAAAATCCTTAAATCACATTGAGCCCCAGCCTTCAAGCCGATATGAACTTACCATTGCCTAGGGTTTCCCAATTTCCCTGATCTCAAGCTTTATGATTTTAAGCGCAAAAATCCGCCCTTAAATGGCAATAAACCCTAAATCCTATATAGCTCTATATAACTCTTTCGAACCCAAAGGAGCGCTAAGCCGCTAAGCCCTAACTACCAGGTGACTACGTTGCAGAGGCCACCAAGGCTGCCGGTGAGCTGTACGGATATGGCCACACGAATGTGCTCTTCAAGCCAACCAAGGCTTCTGGCGATATTGCCGATATTAAATGGTTTAGGGATTAGGGGTTGGGGTTTAGGTTTCAGGGTTTGGGGTTTAGGGTTTGGGGTTTAGAGCTTAGGGTTTAGAGCTTAGGGTTTAGAGATTATCGATGAGGGCTGCGGTTTCCACTACCCTGTAACAGAGATATTTACGTGAGCAACTGTCTATATTCGGGTTACCAACAGACTAAGGGTGGACGTAGGGGTCCCTTTGGTAGTTTGTATAGTTTTATATTCCCTTACAAGGGCACATGTCCATTAATCATATTGGAAATATTGACCCCCTAAATGGTCTAAGGTCAAGGGCCGAAAGCTTAGGCTTGAAGGTCTATCCTTGGAGCTCGAGAGCAAATAGTTCAACTTGAGAATTCTGAAGTTTGAGAGGAAGATCCTGGAATTCATGAAAGCCTCTATGACATTGAGTGTTCCTTTTGCAAACCCACACATGTTGTGTGCAGGGGAGGAAGGAGGGGTGAACAGTAGGGGGAGGAAAGGCCTATAGCCCCCCTTAAGTAGATAGAACATGGCTTTGGGCATACTACAATAAGATCCCCATATACCTCATATTTTATCTACTTAAGGGGGACTATATACCACCCTACTCCTTTAGAAATGGCGGGGCGCCCACGGGGTGGTTCAACAACCTTCAAAAGGTTGGAGACCGGAAGCCTCAAAACCTTAAACCCTTCAGCTGTAACCACCCTAAAGGCGTCCACCCGATATCTGCAGAGCGTCTCTAAACCCGAGAAGGTACACCAGTTACATCAGTTACACCGTCATGGTATCAAGGTTACAGGAGCTTATCTTGGTTTAGGGGGGGGGTTTAGGCTTGAGGGGGACCCTTCGGATGTATACGGCGTGGAAGGGAAGGAAATGGATCCCTATTAGGAATTGGTAGGGTAATTTCAGAAGCATCCGTGAGGATGATTAGCTGTTATTTCATTGCTTCCAGGGGGTTTTCTAAGAATATCTGGGCCAGCGTGACCCTCCAGGTACTTAACAACATGGAAATTTCTAAAATAGTCCCTAGTCAGCGGCCTTGTTATGAGCCCAAGGGTCCCTGATATAGTCCCCGCATATCCCAAGGGTCCCTAACAAGGCCATTTTGAGAAACTTCCACATCCCAAAGATGACCCACCCAAAACCCTAAATCCTCAACTCAAAGCCGGCCCAAAACCCTAGCGTATGTAGTCCCCCTTAGGTAGATAGAATATGGGTGGAATGGGGATCTTAGTATAATGTACCCAAAGCCATATTGTATCTATTTAAGGGGACTATCAACTCACAGGCAGCCGCTCACCAGTTCCGACCCACGGCTTCTGACGCAATGTCGCATCTAGACCGGTCATAAGCATTGCAGGAAGGAACAAGAAAATAAACCTGCATAGCAGAGTCTAGGGGATGATACAGAAGCTACAAGTTCTGTGGGGGTTACCGTGGGCTGAGAATGTCAGGAATAAACATTTCTGTTCAGGGCTTAGGGTTCAGGGAATGAACAAGAAAGTAAAATTACTGAAAAATTCAGAATTAAGTACGGGTCATTGTCAGTTACACAGGGTTGTAGAGTCTCCGGCTTAGTTTCACACTTTGGGAACAATTTAGACCATCTTCTCCTATGCTTGTTGTTGCACATTGGGCATACGAATAAAGACAGGGCAACCTAAGAAGCTTGTTGTAAAGCTTACTGAGCTCCAAGAGCCGTTGTTAGTTGCTCAAAACTAGTTGGCTCCTGAAATTGTCGCGACTTCACGTTGTTGCTTCTGCACCGTCTTTAGCAGGTGTTTTCCTTCCCCTCAACCTTTATCCCTGGCACCCTAACCAACATATTATAGTACATTATAGATAGTACATTATCGTATCAAATAGTATACTAAAGTATCTTATAGTAGATTATAGCATATTATATACCCCAAACCCAAAGGCGGACTTTGTGTGTTGTCCTGAGCTGAGGTATTTCGTTGGACACAAGGCAGTGGCAAACGGTCATGCGGAGGATACCTGGGGTTGGCTGCTTTCCAGTTTCCTCCAAGAGTTTGGGGTTTAGGGAAGGTATGGCACTAGCTGACACGCCCCCTACGAGACTACCAGCTGCATCTCTGCCCAGCACTGAACGGGGAATTGCCATTTGTAACTCCCAACAGGGGACATGCTATGGGCTCTAGAACCTGTAGGCAAAAGGCACGGCGACCAAATCTTGTCCTCTGCATAAACAGTTATGGACATGTGTCCGCCCATTCTAGCTCGACATCTGCAATTGAAAGTGCTGAACGGTGAAACCTTACACCCTAGACCCTAAACTATGAGGGGCCTAAATAACCCTCCTCCACTCACTCACACCCCTATAGTCCCCCCTAAGTAGATAGAATATGGGGTATATGGGGATCTTATTATGAGATTGGTAAGTTCCATATTCCATCTTCTTAAGGGGGAACTTAAACTCAAGGACATCAAATTGGTATCCTTCTGGTGTGTACCCTTGGGTCTTCTACCTCAAGAACACCCTAATTCAGGAGTTCATTCCATGCCAAGGGGCTCAAGCCCAAGGGTACCAACCCCCCAAGGTAAAAAGGGAACCTCCCTGACAAGACCCAAATCCTACGACATCACCCCCAAAAATTTGCACCCCAAATTCTGAACCCTATGAATATAAGCCCTAAACCAATTTATAACCTTCCCCCCCTAAACCCTAAACCCTAAACCCAAAAAAAAAAGTTGCCCGCTGGAGGATGCAGGCTTCGCCATCAACNNAACGGTGGCAAGGGCTGGGCTGACGTGGCGTTCCTCGGGTTGCCAAAGACTTTCAGGGTCCGTGGGAATATGGTATGTTAGGGTTTAGGGTTTAGGGTTTAGGGTCATACCCTAAACCCGACATCCTGAATCCCAAACCTCAAGCCCTGAACCCTACACCCTAAGCACAGAACCTTAAGACCAGCCATCTCATAATCCCCGAGCCCGAACTCTCAAAGAAGCAGCCCCCTAATCGCTTACCTGACTGAGTATACTGCATAGGGGGTTACATCACGTTTACATGAGCCACATTCTAAACTCCTAGTCTCCCCCTCAATAACCTAATAACTTCTAGAGTAGTCCATGGTATACATCCTTATAAGACCGCCTTCAGGAGTTTAGACTATAGATCCGGAAGTGATGATATTCCCCCCTGAACCCTAAACCCTTAACCTGATTGCCTACTGACCCTCCTAAACCCTAAACCCTAAACCCTAAACCCTAGCTCCAGGGTGTCCCTTGTTCGGCTCAAGGCTTCGAATTTTAGATTTTTGGTTTGGAGGGTTTCGGAGCTGTAGGGGCTTTGGGTTTTTTTTGGTGGCTTAGGTTTCTTTAGTGTGTTTAGGGTTTTGAGTTGTTTTGTGTGTATGTTTTTTTTCTCTTTTTTTTTTTAAATGGTTTTTAGGTTGTTTAGGGGTGTTTAGGGGTTTTATGGTTTTTTCATGTTTTTAGAAGGATTTCAGAGCTTAGGGTTGAGGGCGGGATGTTGGGGTTCAAATAGGGTTTAGGTTTAGGCTTAAGGACGGGCAACAGCAAGGTATTTGTCTGTGGTTTGCTGGACGCTTAGGTTCTACAACCACCAGATCGACGTGACTGGCAACGTTGCCACTGGGGCAGACATGGAAGTTTTTGAGCGCGACTATTATGGAGCTTCCTCAACTCAAAGGGGACCTCAAATTTCAGAAAGTCCCATGTAGCAACCCCAAACCCACAACGAAGACCCCGCGAAAGCCATGTGGTTCTGGTGTTGTGGGTTGAGATGATCAAATTGTCGTCTTCATTGTTGCAAGTTTGGCTAATCATTCTCGCGGATGCTAAAACTCCTGCATGACCCAATCCCTAACCTTGGGTTTTTATACTGAGGTCATGCATAATTTGGGTTTCAGCAGTATTAGCATCACACCCCGCCGGTACGCAGTTTGAATAGTACGCATGTAGCTGGCATAGAGGAGTTTGGGAATGCTTGCCCAACATGGTTACCATGATTCCCATACTTATGTGCACTAGACTGGCAACCTTTCGTAGCAACTGAGGCTGGACCAAAGAATTTCATAGAATTCATTCAAGTGATTTTTGGTGGTATATGCTATATCCCTACATTATCCCTGTATTGCCCATATATTAATATATACAATTCCCCTACATTACCATATTCCCCTTTGGGTCCAAACAGTTATGAAGCTAGCCAAAGGCCATCGCCATGGGAAATTACTACTTCACCAGCTGTGCCGATGGCAGCAAGACCAAAGTGGAGTACACCTTTGGCTACAAGAAGAATGCTGACGGCAAGGAGGGGGTGACTGAAAATGGGAGAGACAGGGAGTGGGAGGGGGGATTGTTTAACGACAGGGTGAAAGGATTAGTTCAACGATTCTTCTACAAGCATCTGAATGGCATAGTGCTTCCATCATGGCACCCATGCGAATTTCTCAGCCAGTGCACGCGGTAACGCTGGATACGGAGAGCAAAGGGGATTTATCCACCTTTTGGTTTAGGGTTTGGGGTTTGGGGTCCACGGATTATGGTTATATGTTATACCCCAACCCTAAACTCTAAACCCTAAGGCCCCTCTTGCTATACGCGCAAGGATAGACGGATGTCCCCTGGTGTGTTTTCAAGGATTGTGACGACCTTGGAGAGAACATAGTGGGTGCAGTTTGGGTATTTTGGGAGGCACCCGTTGCCAAGTACGTTCCGAACCCATTTCAGAATTTTAGCAAAGTCCTGAGACCGACATCCCATAGCCAAATCCTTAAATCCTAACCCTGAACTCTATAACATATATACATATATCCTTCACCCTGAACCCTAGAGCTCTCATACCCGAAGCCCTAAGCCCGAAATGATCTGGTAGTTTCCAGTGTCTTTTCTCTTCTTTCATTGCCAGCTGACCACTGGCCATGACCCCTGGACCAAAGACTCTGACAAGTTATACAACGCTTGAATCTTGATGGAACTTCGTAACACACTTGACTGGGTTAAACACTATCTCCAATTACCCTAAATCGCCTTGCATGGTTCGTCCCAAGTATGAGTGCGGCTATACCCGCGTTGTAAGCGGTCACCAAGGAACACTATGCCCTAATCCCGAACCCCAAGAGCTCCTTAAACCCTACACCCTAAAGCCCCATTCTCTCATAGCCTCCTCCCTTCCTAAACCCTAACCCTAAACCCTACACCCTAGACCTCAAATAACCCTGAACCTCACCAGGTGTAACCTTCCCTTCGGGGTCTGAACCCTTTGGGGTGTAAGTTTCAGCAATCCCCAGACCCCCAAAGGGATCTAAAAATTAGATCCCCTAGAAGATCATGGGGAATTTCATAGGGATTATATAGGGGTTATTATGGCTTAATATAGGGAATCTAATTTTTAGATCCTCCCAGGGGTCTGAGTCCGGAAGCCCTAAACCCCCATACTCCACTAGCCCCTGCAGGTGCGCATCTTCCTGCACCACTCTTCCGTGCCTTTCCAGGCTGCAGCTGTGGCGGCCCCCAAGGGCCCCTACCCCGCAGCCCAGGTGCAGAGTGCAACGCTTGCCGCTGGGCGAAGGGGTTTGAGGGTTTGAGGGTCTAGGGTTGTAAGGGCTCAGGGTTTAGGGATTTGGGGTTTAGGGCTTGGGGGTTTAGGTTTCTGCGGGGTTTAGGCGGGTGTATCCGAGTTTGGGGTTTGGGGTTTGTATGGGGTTTGGGATGCGGGATTCAGTTGGGGTTTGAGGTCTAGGGCCTAGGGTTGGGCGTGCTCCAAACCTTGCACTCTGGACCCACAATCCTAGCTCCTCTACCTAAATCCTCCCAAACCCTAAACCCTAAACCCTTCACCTCTCCCAAGCTCAAACCAGGTTGGGGCGTAAGCTCCGGCAGGCCATGCTCTTCTGATTCTGGCCACATTTGTTGCAGGAAATTCCGAGCATGACGGGTTTAGGGTCTAGGGTTTAGGGTTTCCTTTTAAATGAATTCGGTCTGTTCTGCTACTGCGAAGGCAGCTGCATGGTGTTTATTGATCCGTTTCAGGCCTTCTGATGCTCACGCATGGAAATGGAGATGTCTCAAAATCGAGGGTTTGAGGGCTAGGGGGTTAGGGTTTAGGGCAGGTCCCGAAGAGCATGGCATTCCTAGTCGTGTATAGTGGGGCCCCTGTCATTTTGAGGCATAGTCATGCGCGGGCTTTCGGCTCAGGATCATTTTTTCTGTTCATTTTCCAGGCTGCGCAGCCTGCGAGAGGGGTGGATCGGCAACGGGAGGGGGACTCAACGAGTTCCTTCATGTTCCACTCATTGTTTTGACGAGAGCTGCTTCTCGGACTGGGGGGGATGCAGAAGAGCTATGTGCAGCATATACTCACCCTATAAGAGGACGCATTTTGGAGCATTCGGAAAGAGATTTTCGCAGGCTCTTCCTGTATCGTCGCTATTGGGGCCATGGGCACAAGTCCTGAGCACCGCCTGCATATTCCGGATTCCTAGGGAGATCCAAGGGAACCCCTCAACAGAATGAGCCTCCATGCGATCTTTGCTTGAGTTGCCTAAGAATCCCATTATGCGCATACCTTCATACCCTGACTTGCCTGCCTGGGGAAAAGGACGTGAGGGGGGTTGGAGTGACCTCATTCTGGATGTTTTCTTCTTAGTGAGGGAACGTGCCTGGGTTCCCTGAGGTTAGACTCGAGCCTAAAGAACAAATAGGACCTACACAGGCCCAATTTTGGATAATTGGGCGGTCCGGGTAGGGTGTGGGGTTAGGGTCTTGGAGTTTAGGGGCTTGGGATGAGAAGTGGCCATGACGCACAAGCAATGGGGTGTCCAAAATTTGCTGCAGATTGTCAGAAAGGCCACGAACTCATTTGGGGAGCTCATGCACAGCAGACATTCGCGCCAACTTGGACTATGTTTGACACGGTTGGCAGTGGAAGCTTAGGGTAAGGTCACACGAATCCCGGCTCGGACTGCGTATCGGAAGAACTCCGTAAAGGCCGCAAGTTGCGTTTGG